CACCCTGTAGAATTCTATTAAAATTAATTAACTCACCTACCAGCAGTTTAAATAACAAAGTGAAGAACACAATTTCTATCAGGCACTGGACAGTGATGATGGGAAAACTCCCAAGGTACCTTCATAGGATTTGTTTAAGCTGCCTTCAAAGTCATGTAAAAAACATGCAAAGAACTTGCTGCAAGGAAATTAAAATTAAGGCTATGCAAGTAAGAGAGACAGGGGCAGGAGCTGGAAAACTTGTGATGCTCACCCAGCCTCCTCTGCAGCACAAATCCAGCTAAGGCGCTGCTGGGATACCCACATGGAGAGAAGGGATGTCCCCAGTGAGAGCTCCGTGGCAGCTCAGGGGTTCGTAAAGCAGAACAAGAACAAAGTAGGCCATGGGAGCCCTGTGGTGTCCCACGTGGAGTGGGCAGCTCTTCCCACAGCAGCTTTGGCCACGGGGAGCACGGTGCTACACACTGGTCCTGAAGCTAAAAGGGCTGTAAACAGGGACAGTGCCTGCTCCTCAGAGGCATTAATTACTGATGGTCACACGCAGCCAGCAGCCAGGCAGCGCGGATGCTCAGTGTCACAGGGCACAGGCAGCACCTCTGCCACCTCCCACCCAGCAATGCCTCCATCACCTCCTGCTAACCAGCCTCAGGCCAACACAGCAGCTGGGGTGGGGACACACTGTCCCCCCAGCCGGAGGAGGTTCTGGGAAGGCAGAGGGAAGTGCCATGAGGAGGTGGGGGACTGCAGGGTAGCCTCTGTGACATCTCGTGGAAGAGGAGCACTCGTTCACTATTAATAACAGCAATCTTTAAAAGAAAGGGTTATCAAAATGATGTTGACTATGAGCAAGTTACTCATTTGTCATCACCATGAGCACAGAGGAGGTGCCAGATGAAAGGTCCACAGGGTACCTGGCTCTGAAATCCTGTGTCAGATAATGAAGTGAACTCCACAGGCCTCCAACCTTTGCAAGTCCCGGCACACAAGAGCTGCTGGGAAAGGGCAGGCCAAGGGAAGTGAATGCTTTGGGGATGTGGGGTAGCACTGCTCAGCTGCTTGGAGGGGATTTTGCACATCCCAAAACAGGACTCTGGGAAAATGCTTTACACCTTTGGTGTGACACTGGAGAACCCTTTCCAACACAAAATGGACACAAAATGTGATCCAGAGAGTACTGGTGAAGTGAGATGAATTAGCCTCATCAAGATAAACACAGCAATTTGGAAATCTCTGGACAAATGAGCAACATAGGATGATCTTTTTTCAGTCATGTTGCTAGGAGACATCACCGTAGTCAATCATAAAACCATCACCTGCTGCTACTCAGGAATTTTTTTAATAAACACTTCTATACTGAAGAGTAATTCAGTGAAGCTAAAATTGCTTATGGGACCCTGTCAGTTTTGACAAAAACAAGCAACAAAACCTAGACTGGTGAAGATTTCTCAGGTTCCAGATGAAATTTGTGATCCATAAAGTGTAATACCAAGGTTGGTGTCACCAACATACAAAAAAAATCAAGAGAGCAGCTCAAACCCACACCCTATGATATCCCATAACAGAAATATACTGGTCTAATTTGCAAGAATCCCTAAGAATTTAGTAGTAAGTAAATTAAGTGTATGTTAAGTACTTAAGACCTAGAGATCGGCATATAATATAGAGAATTTCAAAGGATTTTGAAGCTTGAGAAAGATGAAGACTGCAAGCTTAGTCTAATATTCAAAGCTGCCTAATGCCCTGCAATGGAGGCAGCACAAGTTCAAATCCTTGCTCCAGGGCTGTGGGTGAAGGTCAGGGTTGAGAGCAAGCCTTCCTCAAGGGCTAGGGGTGTGCTGACAGCTTGGCACTGGGATCAGGATTTTGTGAACCAGTTTCAGGAAGTCAGTGCTGGGTTATGCAGAACAGTAAATGCTGAAATCTGAAAACAATTTGCAGAGCAAAAACCTCCTTTTTTAAACATTCCTGCCAATAAAGAAGATGGTCGTGTTTTCATGGAGCCAAGCTGCCTGTGTGGAAATGCTGCAAGGTAATGAGGGTTGAAGCACAATTAGGCAAGAAAAAGGAAATTAAGCTACAAGTAACACTTCAAAAGTTAGAAAAAAATGACTGAAGAGAAAATAATATTAAAAATCATTTTCAAAGCTACATTTCTTCTAGGGAATCGGCACAATAAAATATAAACTGTTACACACTTTGCTAAAGGAGCATGTGAAAGATTTTAGGGGGAGCAGAAAAAGGAGGTGTCATTATTCAGCACTTTTATTAAACAAAATGAAAAAACCAGCAAGCTAAGAGGAGAAAACCCAACTCACCCAGAAACAGAAAAAAAAAATGAAACATGTAGCTTTTCATGATTACATGTATATTCTACCTTCACCCATCCATAAAGAAAAACCTATGGTTAGAATACAGTCATGAACAGAAAAGCAGACACAACAAAAGCATAAGGAAAAAAATAAAATAGTAATTCTAATAGTAAATGGCAATAACATTATTTGTGCCAAGAGAGTTTAGGGGTACTAGCTGGGGAAAATGTTTGAGTTGGTCCCATTGCCCTTGCTTTCCTTTGACAAGACCATTTTTCATATTAAGTCCTGGCAAGAAGTGCTGCCTGCAGTGGTTTTAATGTTGTGAACAACCCACATGAGGTGGCTGCATTCAGACTGGTAGTGAAAAGGCCAGAGGTGATACCAGACTGTGCCTCACTATGTGCCTCACCTGCCTCTGGTCCCAAACCAGTTCATCCCCTCAGCTCTTTGTCCAGCACTGAAACACTGCCTGGCCTGGGTGTGAGCAGACCAGCAAGGTCAGGGGAGGAAAGCAGAGAAGCCTGGGTCCCAGAGACACCTATGTACAGCTGTGTGTCACCAAACAACTCGAGTCCCTGGGCAAGAGCGGCTGCTGTGCCACTGCCAGCGGCAAGAGCTGAGTGAGAAAATAAAGAAAAATCAAATTGGGAGCCTCTGACCCATGGAATTAATCCAAGGTCTGTTGTGTGGGAAAACACATCCCACACCATAGGAAAGGCCAGGGAAACAGTCTGGTACAGATTATTCCTTATGCAGAGATTTCATTGCTGGCATTATCAAAATGAATTTTTTAAATACTTGCTCCCTTCTTGCTTTAAGCTCCTCAGCTAACCCTGGGAGCCACACAGTTATGTACAGTGCTTCCAAGTGGAGAAGGAAACAGCAGGGCACACTGAAAATTGTCGTTTTGATCCTTAGGCTTTGTTTCTAAAGGGGAAAACAGCACAGCAGTCAGTGTGTCTTTATTGCATGATACACAGAGAGAGGACAGGCAAAGAGGACACAGCTCTAATATTACAGCAGACATTTGCAGAGATCTAAATGGGAATCAAGTCCTGTATAATATGCTGTATAATACATGTGCTGGAGATATCTATATCTATAGATAGACAGATATGGTCAAGAGAGTATAAGCAAGATCTTTCTTGCACTGACTTGTTACTTAGCATTCAATAACTCACTGCCAAATGAAAAATACAATTACCGAGATACCCCCACAGAAGTAAAGTGCACTTCAACTTTCTGGCAAAATTCAAAGTTCAATTACCCTGTAGCAAATCAATCAAATGTGTGCACAGCAAGCAATGAAAAAGTACAGATGTCACCTCAGTGCTTTCGGCTGAACATGGTTTTCCTTCTTTTTAAAAATCAGCAAGCAGCACTAGGAGACATTTACAAAGCTCACATTATGCAGAAAATAAAAAGAAATCTATGAGTGTGATTTAGAGGAGCCCAGCACAGAGCTCTGGGCACGAGGAACAATAAATAATGAACATTCATCACTGGTAACCTGCGCAATGATCTGATTTTTACAGACACTGAGATTCATGACACCAGTTCAGCATCGCATCCCCCACGTTCCCATAGCTGGGAGCCAGGCCTGCAGGCAAAGCCATGCACTAAACCATGTGCACATGCCAGCCCCTGCTGATGGATGTGTGGCACGACACAAGTGTGTGTGTGTGTGCACAGCAAGCTCCAGCTAACCCAGGGCAGAGCATCCTGTTTGGATGGTGCTGGCCTGGGATACACAAATGAAAGCTTCCTGAGGGGAGCACGGGGCCACACTGTGCACTGACAGCTTGGAAAGTCACTGCCCTTTGCTGCTTCAAGTACCTTTCTTTGCCCTTTTGTTATGAGCAGCACAAAACTGCACTTGAGTTCACTGCTGTGAGGCACAAACCTCATTCTGAGCTTCTCCAGCCTCTCCCACAGACCCTGCCCTGGTGAGCAATCCCAGGGACACTTTTATCCTGATTACCAGAGAGGGAAGGGATGACACCCACTTTGTGCTGCCTGGAATGGAGACCTTCAGTTTCCAGCAGGAATCAATACACAAGGCTGGGCTTGGTTTTGTTCTCTGTTAATTCATCATTCCTAGAGCTGACATGAAATTTTGTAATCACTTTTGAGTGGCTGAGGGGAACTTTGAAATTAAGTCCTCCAACTTCAACATTTTTTGCTAGTTTCCCTTCCCTCAGCCTGTGACTTACTTAGCTATGGCTACAATGAATCACAGAATATTCTGAGTACAAAGGGACCAAGAAGGATTGTCAAATCCAACTCTTAAGTGAACAGCCCATACAGGGATTGAACCCACAGCCTTGGTTGTGAACACCAGACTGAGCAAATGAGCTCATTTCAGTGTTAAAGACTTTTTTTTTTTTTTTAAATAGGAAACAATACAAATTCACAACTCTGATAAAAATTGAGCCTGAATTTTAAAATAGACCTGCTTACCCACGAACAAAATATCTGTATTTTATATCATCAAAACAATTGGTTCATAAAACTGATTAAGTCCAGAGAACAACGAAAATTAAAAGACCACTTAAATACACAAAGTTAATACTCACTGCAGTTGTGTAAAATTGGTATTTTGAAATATTAGAGGCATCTTAAAAATTTTTATTTAGCATATTGAAAAACAAATGTTACAAAAATGTTCTATAAACATAGGCAAAAATGTTTAAATAGGATAATTTAATGTAAACCAAACCCCTTTAAAATATACAATACTGTAATCAGAAGTTATTTACATACAGTGAAGAGAGAACAACCTTCACTATGTTAATATCATCTAAGCAATTCATTAACTTCCATAATTTCTTAAAACAGTGCCACCTTTAAGTTCATTTTAGAAGCTAAATAATTTCAATCCCAATACAAGATGAAATTCAATGTTACATTCAGAAGTGGGAAAGACAGTTTCCTGACTATTCATGTCATCAGTCAAGACAGCACTGCATTCAGAGTTGCAAAACCTTAGAGAGGTACAACTATAAATTTATATTTATTGCATGACAATGCAATTACAGGATAGATAAAACAACAAGAAAAAAAAAGCTATAAAAAACCCCAGTACAAATAAAATTTTATTTTTCAATCAGGTTTGAAAAGCCAACCACAGGACTAAGCTATTTTCCCACATTTCACAAAACGGAACAAACAATTTGTAAGTTGACATTATTCCAACACGGAGAAAACTATTCATATTTTAGAGGAAATGTATTTGCACAACTGTCCCACACTGGTTTCATTTAAATGTTAAGTTTATTCACCAAGACATAAATTTATAGCCCACAATGGCTTTCATACTCCTGTACTCATGGAAAAGGCATTGTCCAATCAATTCAACTCATGATCACTCAGCTTTTGGTTGTGACTTTTTTTGGAATGGCAAACATCAATTTTGGATTGCACATAAAAGTATCTACAGGACACAGTAACAGGATAAAGCAACATATTCAATTTAGGAGCCAGAAACAAACCCTTTAAAAGTGGTAGTGGAATACAGAGTAAAGAAAACACAGAAAAAAGGGAAAATCCAGCTCATCTCTGAACTACTAAAGCAGACTGCCCACGTTCAGGGGATGATGACAGCTGCTTCACAATCTAATGTGACATGGGTGATCTCCATGCATTTCCTAGAGTTAAGTCCTAAGTCTGACAAGGAAGTTACTGCTAAAATTACTATCTGTGCTGGTAGGCACAGGAGGTGCCAATATGGCACAGACACTGAAGTACCAGCTCTTTCTGAGGTGGTTCCTGCACGCTGGGATGAGGCACTTTGTTCTGGTGAATCCGCCTAAAGCACTGTATTTATTAACTCTTGCTTGGTATGAAAGGAGCTTTAATTTCCACAGGTGGCAATTCAGGATTCACAAGAGCTAAAACCACTTCAAAAGAAAAGGTCTGACAGTACACAAACAAAACCCAGGCAGTTTTTACTACAAGTGTCCAAAACATACTGTGCTTATCTTAATATATCTATTATATATTAATACAAGTTACAGTTTTGGCAGTGGAGTCAGGAGTTTGGCCAGGAGTTCATCTCTAATACAACTTGCCTTAGCAGCTGAAGATCCCCAGAAGGCAACAAAGGCAACCTGCTCTTTGCCAAAAATGAGAACTCCTGACACTGCTTGTCAATGTGCTAGATCATATTCTTATTGAAGTGTGCACTTACACACCCATCTATAACCATCCATTCCCTTCCAGTCTCCTTCCATAAAAATCCTTTGGAACAGTTAGGCCAAGCCCCCATGAGAAGGACATTAAGAGCAATTATCAAACAGATGGCACTGGCATTTCATTTGGGGTGTTTGAAACAAGACAATTTGGGTTTCTGTTGTAAGAAAGCCAACATAATTCAGTTCTTCAGGGCTCAACACATTTCAATTGGTGTTAATTGATTAGTAGAACACAGAACAGTACTAAGCTAATGCCATGCTACTTGGTGTGGGAAGAAAGAAAGCAAACTTAATACTCAGAAACTAAAGCGAGCAATTAACTTTTAAATCAACCTGTGAAAGAATAATCACCACACTAGAATTTGTACCATGTAAACCAAGTGGATAAAATTCTGTACAAGCTTCTATGTAACTTTCATCCATCTCTTCAGCCTCAAAAAGTTACTCCACACTAATGCTTGGGGTTATGCCCGCGTGTTCTTAGAATTCCTTGTTGGAATGGATAAGCAATAAATTTATTTGCTATTGAAAAAGGATATTTGTATTCTCTGCAAAGAATTTCCACAGGCACCAGTACAAGGTGCACACAAGGTACAGTCAATTGGCAAGGGAGTATCAGAACTTGAGGAAGGAATTTATAGCTGGCGAAACCTTGAGGAAGGTGTTCATAGCTGGGGAAAAAAGGAAATCACAGACACTGATTTTCTTTCCTTTTTCCCCCTTTAAAAAGGTAATTAATGCCTTTGGGTGTATGTGCTTATAGATTACATCCTGGTCCCAGTGAAAATCACAGGAAGTCCATGATCAGGATTTTATCTACTCTCGAGTACTTCACTATTACTGTTGCATGAACTTTCAAGTTCTGAAGTTAACATATGCACACTTCTCACCCCTAAAATACAAAAGTAAAACCTGATAGGAAAACAGAAAAGGCAGAACACAGACAAAAACTTACACCATTAAATTCACCAATTAGTGTCTTGAATTGTCAGCTTCTAAGCATTTACAGAATTTTGAGCTGTAATAGCATAAGCTTTAGAATACATCTCTCCTGCTAGGACTCTGGAATTATTGCTCTTACACCAGTATTCTCTACACGAGATCCTGGTTTGAACACAAAGGCTCCCAGCCTCCTGAGGGCCAGGAGAGGGTGCAGCATGTAACAAAAACCCAAGTGAGAAAAAGGAACCAACCAGACAAGAGGCAATACTGCAAAATCAGTCCTCTCTAGTGTAAATAACTATTAAAATGTTCCTTAAGGATTCCCTATTGCAGGGAATTCTGACAGTCTGCAGTAAGAAAGGGGAGGGGGATCCCACAAATCTTGTGGGGAATGTGGACAGTGTTTGGAATAAAACAACTGACATCCTTCAAAACAGAGGTACTTTTGGGAAGTATAACAGAGCACCACATCTGTATCTGCACTACACTCTTAATACAGATTCCTTATCTTTTAAGACATTCGATAGGGGAAAAAAAAAATCCCAAACCCAAAGAATGAGCGAACCTAAAAAAGGTGAAATTCATTGTAAATTCATTGTATACAAGTCCGTTAAATTACAGAAATGCATAATAAGCCAAGATAAAGTGCTACAAAATGATTAACAATTTTTAAAAGGTCCATGGCATTCTTATTGTTTTACTTTGTACTGGTGACAATGGGGGTTAGTGCGATGGCACTGGCTGAACTGGAATTCACAATGTCTTCGTACTGTGGGGGTGGATCTAAATGTTGTTCAGTTTCACTTCTTCTCACAGTGATTTCCCCAGTGGCTTCCTCATAGGAAGGAGGAGGATCACAGTTTGAGAGCCTTGTGGATATTGAGTCTGACCGTGCATCCGAATAGCTCAGACCTCCTGGAGAGAGCCCACTGACTTCATACATTTCCTCCTGTGGGGAATGAACAATGCTGAGAGGCGGCGGGAGGGGCCCTCTGCCATCAGCACCATCGCCCAGCGCTCCGTGGGCTCCCCTGTGCACGTACACCGACTGCCTACGCATTTTCTTTTTAAACAGGCATCTCCAGATGACAAAAATGACAATGAGGATAATAAAAAGGCCAATGATTAATGGAAATGCAAGGTAAAATGAATACCAGCTATGTCCTGTGTTACTTTCTCCCTGGAGTCCGTTTTTGTAGACTTTCCAGAACTCCTTCTAGAAGAGCAAGACACAATATGTCAGAAACTATAACACAGTTAATAAAAAACAAGCAATGTCAGCAAATTGTTTTAAATAATGAGGAAAAAGAAAAGGCATTTCAAATACTGATGGTTAAAATAAGAACTGGCATGGATAAGCACACACAAACTTTCAATTTTTCTTTTCATGTGATTAGTGATACAAAAGGGATTTGCTTTTGCAAACAAACTCCTCACCACTTTTAACATTCTTATATCTACACTCAGTGTTTACAAACATGCAGCAGAAACAGAACTATGCAATAATACACTCAGGAAAGAAAAAAACCCAACCACAAAACAAACTACAAAAAAAAAAAATCTCAAAAGCCCCTGCCTAATCAGCATGCACATCAGCCATCTGGTGGATCAGAATCTGTCAGCACCAAGGTATAAGTTTAGGGTTTGTTTAAAAATTGCAATAATACACTAGTACAATTTGACATAGAAACACTGGTTCACAATGACAGATAATTTTGGCAAACTGCAACTACGCTGCACTGTTTTATCATAATTTAGACATGCCCCACCCTCTGGCTCATACAGCAATTGCTGTCAGCTTATTTTGAGTTGATCCAGATCCTCTGTTTACAGTTAAAAATAGCTCCATAACTATGAGACTATTACATGGGTTATTATATTTTAGAAACCATAAGAGCATAGCTACAGATAAATGGAACATCAAGTGAAAATATGAACAAGCAAAAACAAAGATGAAGGGGGACACCAATACTTGTAAGTCCTCTGCTGTATTAATATGAGCAAGTGGGAGCACAAATATCATGTTACCCTCTGATTTCTTCTGCAGTGAATGCTATGAAGAAACAGCACAAAAGAAAAGCATATTCTGTCTCAAAAGAGTAGCCATCCTCCCCTGTAAAGTCTCTCCTACTATGCAACATTTCCACTGAGTTTTATAGTCATAATTTAGTATATTTTAGTATACTGTAATATAATTTAAAATCCAACCCCTAAAAAGCTGTAATTAATGACACCCCCCAGCCCATGCCAGAATCTCTGAACTCTAGTTTTCTTTAAAAATGCACAGACCCCCCCATCCTCCTGCCAGCATCACATTACTTTTAAATGACAGCACACATTTCATGCAACTATTTATAAAATAGTCACCAGGTAGAATTGAAAATGGAATTTCTCAGTTGCTAGTAAATGATGTATTTAGGTTGCAGGCTGACTTTGTGCACAGACAAATCAGATCCATCATGTTTTTATAGTTCAGGCCTGCTGCCACATGATGAGCATTAAACAGAAAATGCCACTGACTGACCCCAGAGGCAGCCTGAGTCCAGAAGCAGCACAATCCCTCTAGCATGGAGGTCAGGCTTCCTTGTGCAAAGGCAGGACCAGGACACCACGGGTAAAACACACACTATCAACATTTCTGGATCAGAATTTACTCAGGTGAAGAGCAACAAAACAAGTACATGAAACAATTGACTCTCCTGTAAATTTTGTTTTCCAAAGATAAATTCAGTTGCTCTTACATCTATGTGCAAATTCAAAAACCAAAACAATTTCAACTCCTACACCAATCCAGGATCTGACATTTTCCCTGAATTTTAAGGCTTGACACCACAAGCAGGTTGTCACCATGCCTCTCTTTCATGTGAGCCCGGGTCCAAAACATCTAAGCTGTGTTGGGTGGCATTGGCTTCAAACAAAGCAAGAAAGACTGCAAAGATGGACTCTAAACACTCTAGACAAAGAGGGTCTACAAGGGCCCTCTTTGACATGTATTTCACAGTGAACTTCAAACCAACCACTGTGAGTTTAGAAAAATGTATTTTCAGAAATCTAACAAAAGTAGCTGAAAAATGCCATTAGCTGTACAACTGAGGATTTTGGGATCTCTGCATGAGTAAACCTGGCAGAACCAAATATCTCACCCTCTCCCCACCAGACTACCAGGCAATTAAGCATACCTATAACTTTTGCATCTGGATAGAATACAGCTAATTAGATTACTTAGAGGAATAAATAATATACTGTTAACTAAAAAAAAGCAGGAAAGGATTAATTAGGATTGTGAAATGCTGCTGGTATGTGCTGGAGCTGAACTTCACACATAATTGTTCTGTGGCCTCAATGGCAGCAAAGAAATAAAATTGTACAATGTTTGTTTTTAAGACCAAAGATTTACTAAAAGTCACTGAATATACTGTGCAAGGATATGTCATTTTAAAGACTCTCTGGAGGAGAAAGGTAGTTTTGATGAAAAAGAAGAAATCAGACTTCTCCCCTATAACAATCTATTTTGTGTTGCAGACTGCAGAGGAAATGCACCTCCTGCAACAGAAGGGTAGCAAGTAGTGACTGGTATTTAAATATTGTTTCTATGTTACTTCTAGGTCAGATCTATGTGCTGTAGAAAATGTCTCTGTATCTTCAGAAAGCTGAAACAGCAAGATCTCTCCTTGGCACTCTGCTACTAGGCAATGCAGCAGAAAATATGTCCTGCTCTCCCAGAGTGGCAGGCACTTAGTGCAGAACAGGGTGTGCTGCTTTGGGAATGTTTGACTTGGTGATGTGACCAGACAGATGCATAAAGAACTTAAAGAGTTTAAACTGCCTTAAGGATGAAAGTAGTTTAATGTCCTCTTGCATTTACATTCAAGGCAAAGAAAATTCAAGACAGTTTAGACATTCCCTGTTCCCCAGTCAGAAATTACTTTAGGTCTAACACTGTCTCACAGAGACAGAGGAATACAGTTCTGCACAGAGGTGAAAAACACTAAGAAAGAAACACTTGTCTAGTCATTTAAAAAAAAAAAGATAGATCTTTAAATGTTCTTCTTCATGGGAAAAGAAGTAAAAAAAACCAACCAACTAAAAAACAACTCCACAAAACCCCACAAAAAATAACCTTGTTGGCATACTAGATCCCGGGTTCCCAGCTTGCATTTTTGCAAGTCAGCTCTCCAAGAGAAGCACAAAGATGTTTAGCTCCAGAATGCCACAACTGACAGGAACTCCAGGAAATTCATCTTTCAGGTTTAAGTTGCACAGCTGCCAAGCTCTCCCTCTGCTCTGCCACCCCACAGCTACACTGCAAAGTAAAGGGATGATGCAGGAGGAGTACAAGACATCTGGTCAGAGTCAAATCCTGCCCAACAAAGCCACAGACAACTTAGATGTGTTTGCACAGTGTGAGGATTTGTACAGCTGCTGTTTGCAAAACCCTGTTGTTTGAAAAAGACCAAGAGGGGGAAGACTGAAAATTTACAAAGTATCCGTAAAACTCACACAGAAAGTTAAAGAGTAATTTATAAACTGGAAAACTCACAGCACAAACATACCTCCCACAATTGCTGGTCTCTTTAACAACAGGAAGGACTTTCTGCATGACAAAATTACTAACTTGTGATTAATGAAAAGGGCACTTCAGTAATCATTTATCCCTGAGTGCTGTACAACTGGGAATACCAGGTGTAAAAGCCTTATAAGGCTGAAAAACTTAAGCAGGCCACAGAATCAGATAACTGCAATGGAAAAGACTTGGAAAACATCTAACATATTTCTGCCAAGAGCTATTTCTCTGAATGTACCTTAGTGCTTTGGCAAATCCAGTTTGAAATAACGAAAAGGAATTCTCAAAGGCATCCCAAAGACAGTTACAGCAAAATTTTCCAGAATTCAGCTTCCCTTTCATTTGGAATACTCCTCAGAACAGAGTCATTATCAGTTAGCTGGATCTGAATGCTGAATCAAATAAGGAATCCACGAGGAAGTCAAGACTCACACTCTCTTGAGAATTTCAGGGGAACGCCTTTACTACATTTGGCAGCATTGTCATCCTCAAACGATTCTTTGTCAATTTCCTGACTTGCTTTAAAGAGGGACTGATAATAAGCCAGACAGAAGACTGCTTGGTATTTGCCAGGCAGAGGGTGAGAACAGAGTATTAAGGGGAAGTAAGTGCACCCGCTACACTCTTCCCTTCTAGTCTCCCCCAATTTCAAGTAGCAGGAGAAGAATCACATCTCTTATGAATATTTATCCACCATCCATAATTACACACAGAGAGACACTGGAAGTTTTACTTGATCATATAATTTTAGATCTGGTGCTGACAAGTTTTGAGTTGCTCACTAATCTTTTTAGCAGTAGATTGTTTGTTTTGTTTGAATAAAGCAACAAAGAGAACTTGGCAATTTTTGCAATATTTAAAATTCACTGAAAATTTGCAACAGGAATGAAAATCTTTGACTTTCAGCTTTTAAAAACTTCATGCAGTTTAATTTAAAAAAAATGAGTTAATGGAAATTAAATTAACATCAGCGCTACAGTCACACTCGGATACTTCACAGGGCAACCTTTGAATAAATCTTTGAGCCTCACCTCTGACATCTGACCAGTGACCACATGCAGTGCTGCCTGCAGGCTACAGGCACCACCAATAAACAGCTTTACAAGATCACACCTAGGGCTCACCTTATCTGTTAACTTCTCTCTGACAGTAATCATTAGAGACTGCTGAAAGAGTTCAAACACAAGCAGGCAGGGACCCTCTCCTAGATTTCTCATATTTGTACCTCAAGAACTTCCATTAGCCAAAGTTGATTCCTTTTAATTAATGGTTCCAGACTGATTCATCTTCCCTTCATTTACATCACTGTTCTCTGAACCTATACAAGCTTTCAGGATCTGAGACATCCTGTGGCAAAGCAGTACACAGCTCCATTAGCTGTGATGAGGAGAGACTTCTGTTTGCTTTGAACTTGCACCTTTCCAGTTTCCTTTGAGGCCCTCTTAACTCTGCTATCTGAAGGATGGCAAGTGACTGACCTCAGCTCAGCCCTCATCTCACAGGCATTATCACATATTCCCTGATTCAATTATTTTATGATCTATTGTTGTTACACAAGTCTGTTCATATCTTTGATCAATTGCCACACTTCTCTGGTCCTTCCTCACCTACTAATTTGCTTTTAAAGAGATAGGGAGATGAGAGTTGTACACACTCAAGATGTGGGTAAGCACTTTATTTTGATCCCTGTTCCTTTACTTCAGATTCTTAGAACTCAAGAGTTTTTTATTTTGGCTTTGTTTGACTGCTCAGCATTAAATTGAAGTCTTCACAGATTGAAATCCAGCTCTTTTTCCCAAATTCTGTTTGGAGCCAATCATATATTATAATGAATGTTCCAAATTTCTCCACATGCATTACATTTGTCAACACAGAATTTCATATTCTATTTTACCCACAAATTTCTGCAAATTCTTCCCTGTTGGCTCTAGCCTAACATAAGAGTTTTATCTTTATAACTAACTTTATAGTTTTAAATAATAATTCTGAATCTGTCAAAATTCCCAAGCCTGTCTTGGAAATATTGAATGGCATGTATGCACACTTGACATAAACAATGCTAATTAGAAACTCATGCACCAAAAATAAATTGAGGGAACTGCTCAATATTCTTTTAATATTACAAATCTGCATGTTGCAGACCTGCCCAGAAGGCTGCAGAAAAATAAAGAAGCAAGTCGAAGAGAGAAAAAATACAAAGACAGAGATTAGAAAAAAAAGTTATCATAAAATAAATAAGCTACAAGCTCTTATTTGAATTCTAATCTATCTTTACTATGAAAGTTATGATCCTGCGTTTCTCTGAATATACTATATCATGTTCCCAGTCTACTGCATTCATTCCCTTCCCCTGGGACACAGATGTTAAGTACTACTAAGTGGCTGAGTGGATGGATACTGCTGGGGGACAATGCACTAAATAAAGCCCAAGTAAATGAGGCTGGTCAGGCACCACTGCACATTAACAGAGCCTGGCCCATTAGCAACTCCCCACAGCAGAATACAGCAGCCAGGGAAAAAGGATACAGTAGTGGAAATGGATAAAAGGTCAGGACCTTATTGGAAGCTCCTTCACCACTTGTGGCAGTAAAGAAATGTAATTATTTATATTTATATTTTACTACTTCCCAAATAAATACTAATTACCACAGCACAAAATGTTTCTAAATGGGAGAAAGAAGCTGAGAGACCACATGTTTAGGTCATGCTTTCTCTATTGACTGGAACAAAAAGCAGAAGTGATATTGGGTTAGAATTTTATACAACTTGTCTCATTGCACACATTATTTTGAATTACACAATGAGCTATCATTAGGAATAGTCACACCAAGTCAAGCTTGGGAGGTAAAAAGCACATGTGTGCAGGCACTTCATAGCTTCAGAAAGAAGCAGCTTTGAAAAGATACCACATGTCCTACAACTTCATTTTAATAAATCCAAAAATTCTCATGCCAGCCTTATCCATCTCCCCAGATATGTGTGAGATACACATCAGTAACAACAAAAAGATGTCAAGAACTTAAAACGCCCAGTATGCCATAATACATTGTTATTTTTTGATGTACAGCTCAGCCATTGAAGAGTGGAATGTGTCATCTGTGTAAATTTTGGAAGAAATCTGAAAGGTTCCCTGTGCTGCCACTAAATCACTGGAATTGCCAGTAAAATTTCCCTGTGCAAAAACTAAATCTAAAAATCTAATGCAATGTTGGAAAACACACAAGCACTCAGCACACCCCAAATTTTAATGTAAATACACCCTACCCATCTTTACATACACCACAAAACATACCGTTTTTTCCTCATTTTCAAATGCTTCTCTTGCTTCTTCATAGCTACAGATTTCTTCTCTGCATTCATGTTCTATGTCACCTTGCTTTATTTCTTCCAGAAACGTGTTGGCTCTTGGGTATCTTTTTAAGACAGAGTTGGCTTTGTCCTCTGTTAAGAACACTGAATAAGAAGAGGAGAGTCAATAAAGGTCACTTCTAAAATAGACACCCAAAACCTCATGCTAGAATTGCTCCAAGAAGACAGGCCTTTGAGTAAAAGTTTTTTCAAAGTCTTCCCCTTTATTTGATATGATAAAAGGCCTTTCCTAGTTTTGCTCACTGTGGTAAGCAGCTGGGCCTACAATTTCAGCAGTTATTGCTAAAATATCATAAATGCACAGACTCCACAGCATCGTAGTCATGTGTGGTGAAACAAGACTGAAGCTGGTGCCCAAGAAGAGTCCTTGGAAGAGACAGACATGCTCAGCTGAAGCTGACACAGAACAAACAAATCCTGCTTGTCAACATCAAAAATGATATTTGCAACTGCCTGAGGGCATCACACCAGAATGCTCTGAAGTTTTTGATATAAATATTCATGATTATTACCCAGAGTCACAAGCAGCAGACAGCTGCATTTATCCATGTTTAAGTCTGTAAGTTTTCTTAAGCAACTTTGAAGCAGACTTGGTCCCCTCACTCCAGAATTCTCAACAATGAAATGGGTGCTCTTTTGAGGGTGTGGGGGGGAAGTAGTCTCTTTCTATTTTTTTGAACCATACAGAAAACCTCACCTTACTTGATGAATCAAATAAATCAGTCTTAAAATGCAACCAGTGTTCTGACACAGGTATTCTTTATTTGCTTCCCTTAGTTTGCTGTCCAAGGAAGAGAGCTGGAAGCAATCTCTTTCCTTCTGATGTTCCAGTTTTCCATCAAACTCACTGAACCCAATGATTTTTACATATGCAGTAACTGGGAACACTCTGAAATCCATCAGGCTGAATTATCCAGGAGGTACATCTGCAGTGCATGATGCAGGAATTCTCCAGGTATTTCAGGTCAGGAAGCAGGAACATCAAGTCAGTGCTACGCTGTTCTTGGGCTCTGAGTGCCAGCAAGAGGGGATAATGATTCAATGCATTGCCACACTAATGCATTTGTAGCACTTTCTTGGCCTACACAATCATTTGTGCATTGCTTCATTTGCAGTTACTCTGAAAGGTTTTTTTTTCCCTTAATCATCTGATTTTTTGATGTTATAAAAGGAGGGCAGCAAAGAAACTGGTTTTGCATCACACAAATTACCAGGCCATGAGGATGCTAGGGGTTCAGTGCATCCAGTTCTGCAACTGCAGCTACTGCAAATTTGGTTTTCTTCAGCACCACAGGTGAACACATGGACATCTCCTATTTTGTAAGTTCATTGACTAAGTAACATAGACATTAATATTCAGAAGTCTCTTCAAAAAGCAAAGAATAAAAGACGGCTGTTTTCCACTTCCCACACAATTGACCTCACTTCCCTCTAGGTCTGAATAATTTGGTTTCTTTCAGCCTCATGCCTCAGTGATCACCTCAAGGTGATGAGCTGAGGGATTCATCCATATCAGGAATGCAGCGCACAGCCATGCCTAGGGATGGACTGCAAGTGCTTTTCCTACTTTCCCCACCTCCTTGTAGGCATTCCTGAAGGGAACAAGTGTCAGGCCAGACTCTTCTAAGAGTGCCCATATGTAGAGGCACTGAAGGGTAGATAATGCACTGTAAATTAAGTTTCCCTCACTCCAGCAGATAAAACTTAGAGAATTTCATTTCACCGCTGGAATCCATCCCCAAAAAGGGCAATGAGAGAAATGATGACAGCTTTGTATCAGATGCAGAGGGAAAAGAAACATGGGAAAATGCAGGTAGCTGAAAATACCCTGAATTTAAAGATTCTGGCTCTCAGAAACAAGATACAAATATTTGTTTCTGCATGTACTTTCCAATTTCCAAAGAGAATAAATGTTTAAAAGCTGGTATGTAAAGAAATAATATATTTGATACATATTGGCATGAGGTTTTAGGTAATACTTTAGTTTTCCAAAAGGAGATAATGATACATTTATGAAATGCATTGATGAAGAACAGCAAAGTGTTAATTCAGTTCAAGAATAGACAATATATCACTACAACATATAATATTATATAATATATAAATATATAAATATATAATATATAATATATAATATATAATATATAATATATAATATATAATATATAATATATAATATATAATATATAATATATAATATATAATATATAATATGTAATATGTAATATGTAATATGTAATATAAACCCCAAAAGTTTTTCTTGAACAATTCATATTTAGGTCAGTCTTCTCTCACAATACAGTATACAAAACATATTAGTTATGAATGTATCAGATAAATAACAATCTCTGGCTAGTCCAGATCAGGAATGCCTTTTAACCCTGCAAGGCTGGAAATAAAAATGAAGTCTATTAACCTGTTTGTTTGGACGTGACAATTTTAATGCTTTGCACAATCCTAGTGACTTCAAATACTATAGAGAAGTCAATAAAAATGTATCAAGGAAATAAAAACCTGCAATTGAAATACAGGGATCTAATGAGAATCAGGCACTGCCTGATGAATCTTGTAAGAAAAGCTAATGGAACTGTATTGCAGAACCTACTCTGACTTCTTAGTATCCCAGGACCATAATGACATAGATACTCAGATATAATTGGATAGGAGTGTGCAAAAAGCCCAGTTGGGTTGGATGCCCATCTAGCTAAGCCACAGCATGGCTAAATTCACAGCAGGTGTTACCGTGGAGCTGAACATAATCAGGGAAGACTTGAATGTGGTAAGAATAAAGGAATGAAGCAAGATAAGTCACTTTTTCACTTTGTTAAGGAGATTAGCAAATAGATAAGTCAAAATCATTATTTTGGTGTTATATATGACACAAATCATCCAAAGTCTCTTCTACTTCCTCAATTTTTGTAGGATATAGATGAAGTTATACAACTACCACATTTATTGTATTTGAATACATCATTTCTTCAGACATGCTTGTGCTCTGTATGTAACTGTAGTAATTGGCTTTTACCAAGTTTTTCTGTATCAGAAAGCTTCCAAAGACTTAGTTTCACTTACTATTATTGAAGAGAACAATACAGTCAGATCAATTTATTACACATCCTCTGGAAAGCCTGCCTGCTATCCTAGTCATGAATGGATACTCTAGCAAGGTGAAATTCAATCAGAACTGGAGCCAGGCACTGACACAAGAGGATAAATATTTTGCAGCCTGCCAGCTGAAGCTGTCACAGGGAAAGGAAACAGGCTTTAGGTCTGTAGTGACAGAGGGATCAGGGAGCAGCAGCATAGGAAAAGTATTCTGAGACACTGAAGTGCCACCAAAGCAAAGCCCAGGGCAGCCTGGACACCAAGACGAGCTCTACTGAGACCATTATTGAACTTCCATTTTTGACTCCTTACCAACATCTAAGCAGGCTAAAATCACTCCTAAATGGTAAAAAAAAAACATTTTAGCTCTAAATTTGAAGCTTCTGCTGCTATTAAATCTTTCTGTAGATCATCTTAATAAATCCATTTGGTTTGGCTAGGGCTGGAAGGAGAAAAATGATTTGTGCTTTTATTTATAAATTTTAAAAAGTGACTTCTGCTCTGAGAATCATGAGTTACATAGACAAACTTAAAACCAGTTAAAACTGAAGTACTCAAGGCCGGAAATTCATCTCTGTGGTCTCCATTCTGCAGCCAGCTTTCAAAGGCCCACAATAAGTCTGTGATGATTTTTATGGTCTGCAAATAATAGCTCTGTAAGAACAGTTGCATGACTCCAGCTCAGTGTGGGCAAAGACCTGCATCATCTGTAACATCAAAGTCAGTTCAATGCCAGAGGGCATCTTTTGTGCAAAGAGACTGGGATTATGAGCAGTTTTCGGGTGTGTTACTGTCCATTTCACAGGAAATACAGAATGCACACTCAGTAGGTTAAACTTACCACTATCCATGATTGCTGTCAAGGCAGGGAACTTGCAAATTTCAAGTCTGTGAACAAAAGAGGAAATACCCTGATGAGTTTGCAAATTATAATCAATTTGAACAGGTTTCTCTTGATTCCCAAATACTGGTGCAAATACATCAGTATTAGAAACTCCAGGATCAAAATGAATCCCTCTTTTGAGTTATACCAGTACTGCATGCCAGCTGATTTCAGGAGTATAGGAACACTATCCAAGAAAAAGATAACCTTTGAAATAGTGAATGCTTTAACATTTTTCAAGGCTTTTCAAACTCAGAGTATCAAAAATGTTAATATGAAATAAGAGGATGTGTATAATTTCAAACAAAATGCAACGTATTTTGCCTAATTGAACTTTCAAGGTATTACATTCTCCACTGTAATTCCTTATACCTTAACAAACATTTAAATTCACTCTGCATAGATCATCAAGTCAACTCATTATCTTTAGTCTATAGATCAGATTTTTTGTAATCAGAATGAACACATGGAAATTCATTCAGAGTGAGGTACTGATTAAAACAGGATGGCTGCATAAAGTTCAAGGGCAGAACAAGACCTGTGATTTGGCAAAGGAACTTGCACTACAAGACCTCACATGTTCTTTGTACCTCATCTTGGAAAGAGAACAGACAGGAGATGCTCTCAGTTAAGAAAGTGCCTGAAGCTCATTGCACCCACCAGGCAGAGAGCCAATAAGAACTGCATCTGGAGAAAGCAAGAATAGCGCAGCTCTTGGAGTCTTTTTTGGGATGGGAAAAGTCAGGAAAATAAAAGCTTTCAACAAAGTAAGAGAAAGGTGCAACTGCCTAACTAAGTCGGTAGAACATCATGAGGTTAAAAGTTTTTTTTATTAATAAATTACCTACTCTGAAGGGTTAGAACCAGTATTCAGAGACCAGGTTATACATCAACATATCATACCACACAGATGTCCTCACTTTCTATAATTCCAAGCCCAAAATAAGCAAAACTTTCTGCAAAAAAGGTCGGCCACAGCTGTAATAAGCAAAGAGGGAAAGTTAACGTTCCCAGCCTGGCCTGCCCAACACCGTAACTCATCATGCAAGAGCAGACTGCAGTACTTGCAGTGCTGAGGTGAACGGTGCTCCATGAAGACATCCCAGCCTGCTAACAAAACTGTAGGAGTGGCACTACAATATGTGGGATGAAGGAGCAAACTGATTTTAAAGCAAATTCATCAAATCTCTGTAAAGGCAGCAGCAAATAAATATGAATAAAGAGCAGACATTAAGGCACTCTGAAATCTCACTACCATAGTGTTTAGCTTGTTGTTTCTAAGTATTGTAGGTTGACAGAAGCAGAGGGCTTACTTTTTTTTTTCAGAATATATATAAAACCTCTTTCAATAGCCAGAATTTTTCTTGACAGACTACTTTATGCCAAAACAAATGACCTTTGCCCTTTGCTTCTTGAATAAAAATAAAGTTAGTGTCATTTAATGGTTAATCACATTGTCACAACCCAAATATCTGTGATGAAGAAACTGTTAAACTTACTAAAATAAACAAGACATGAAAGACTTAGCTGGTGGTCTATTTTTTTCATCTGTTGCATTATTATTTTCTTTTGCCATTTATTACCCACCAGTTTCAGACAGCTGGTTTAGCAACAACCCCCCAAATAAACACACATCAATAGAAGAGGCAGCACCCAGGAGTGCTCCCTTGCTCTGTTGTGGCAGCAGTGCAGTGAATTAAATATACATTTCCTCTTGAATGGGGTCATTCTTTTTGCAATAAATTTCAGTTAGTCTTTAACATTTCACCCTTTTAACGAAACTTGATTATGAATTTCTGCAACATTCAAAATAAAACAACAACAAGACAGAACACAAGAATCCACATCCATGAGTCACAATCCCTTTGATGGCTCTGCCTACTTGGAACTGTGTTGGGAAAAGGGGGACTTTGACTCCCCCCTGCTTCAGGATGTTTTCCACCAGGAGCAGAGCAAGTCACTGCCTCTGCCTTGGCATCTGGCACTCGGCATATCATGTTCTCTGGGAATGAACACCAGAACACTGACACACAGGTTGGGAAACTGGGGAAAACACAAAGAGAAGAAAAAAGAAAACAGAAAAGGTAGAATATTTTTTAATTTCTTCAAACAAAATTGTATTAGGGGCTAGTGACAAAATAAAGAGTTACTGAAGTGGCTGCAGAACACAAATAATGTTTCATTTTACCACCTTCATTACAAAAGGAAACAGTATGCCCTTCTCTAGGAAATATCAAATACAGCTTTTCAGTTAGTGGCTATGGTGCAGAAACTTCCCTTCATCGATCCACATTAGATTTTTACAGCAGTTACAAGCACTTGGAGCTCCCTGGAACTAATTACACCCATTCTCTGACAAATGTGCTTTTTCTATGCTCTCCTGACTTTTCTCTCAAACTTCTTCATTTCCAAGCTCCCACAAACCACAGCCTTACCTTCTCTTAAAACAGTCCCTTCTCCTAAAGGGAAGGGGTTTAATTATACTTTAGTCCTCTACTCTGACACTCTTGGTTCAAACTGACTAAATAGTTCAAAGGTGGCTTGGAAGAAGGGATTGAACAAAGACAAGTATAAAAATCTTTTCTACCGTCATAGGCCAGCTAATAAAGCAGAAGAGGGCTGGTCACACCACAGGAACATCCTGACTTACTACTGACTCATTTACTCCTCTGTCCAACTCTTTACTTAGTTTCTTGCTTTCCTTACGGAAACACCAAAATTTGCTGTTCCATGAATTCCTCTTCTATCCATCCTCTGTAAGGTTATGCATCACCTTAGATATGTGACAACACAGTGGACAGCTCTATAGCCCTACACCCATGCTGAGTGTCCAATCCTGAGTTAATGGCAGCTGATCCAACCAACATGTGACCTTTCCTGCTTGCTTGCTGTCAGTAGAATGGTTAAAAAACAAAACAAAAACCAATGAACCGCACACCTCTAGTAGGAATTATAATGACCCAGTGGCAAACACTGAGTTCTAAAGCCTGTGAGGGAGCCCCCAGGAGACACACCAACACCTCTGCTATTTACCAGCAGTACCCTGCTCACCACCAACAGGCTGCAGCCTCTTACCAAGGAGAAGCATCTTGCATGGAAGAGGAACTAATACTGAAATAACAAACCAAGCTGTACATTTTTTTCCACAACTAACCTAAATAATCTTTATCTCAATTCTGAAAGTACCCAAATCTTGCATACACTATTGATAAGCATAAGGCATAGAATATTTGTATACATATTTCCAAAGGTGGTAATTATATTCTAGCAGTGGCAGTATCTCAAAATGGGAAGGCAACTCATTTCAGCATTAAAAGCTGCTGTCTTAAGACAGTGGTTCTGAAGAATATTCTTGCATTTACTAGGATAACCATCTTTGGCTGGCAGGCACACACCTCTTCTGGGTACATTTCCTGACTCCAAGCAGCACGTACCATTAAAGGACAGAGGATCTGACTGAGGGCACACAAACTGCCTGTACTGTTCTCCAGCACTGTCATGTGTTCCAAGGATACAGAACATTGAGAACAAAGTGAGTCCTTAAGGGAAGGCAGGAGAAAGGGAAGGGAAAGTAAGGCTAATGTAAAGCAGCAGCAGAATTTTGCCTCGCCTAGTTTCTCACCTGCTGTGCTAAAAGGGACATAAAATACTGCAAGGTCCCCTGCTCCTCTCCCAGCTGGGCAGGGATGTGCATGACAGGGTTCAGCTAGGGAAGAGGGAAGTGGCTCCTTTTCCATTCTGCAACAGAACTCTGACAAGTGGTACAGCTTTAGTTTTGTAATCTGTACAATTCATGAAGCCAAAGAGCTACATAATTTCTTAAAGCCATCAATATTTAGGCTCTTCTGGAGCTTTTTATGAAAGCAGGTCCATTCCAGGGACACTGTTAACGAAAACATCAGTAGACATTCAGTATAAAAATAAACCCCATTCTAGCTCCTCAGTCCCCAGCCAGGTGCAAAGCAACAACTGAAACACTCCTGGGGAAGGTTTGTTTAGAAAAAATACTAAAACATTATCAATCTGACTTCCTGTGTAGCTATTTAATTATCTGACAGCCATTTATACAGAATGCATTATGTGCCTGCCTAAAAATCCCACTCCCAGCACATCCTTTACATGCTTGGAAAGAGTACAATTTTATCTACTGTATCTACTTCCAAAGAGCTTTCTCCCCAGGAAAAGCCTACCAAAGAATGTACATTGATTCAAATGCTGGAAAAATAAATTGATTTTTCTCTGAACAAGAATTCCATAGGATATAGGAGAACCCTGTATTTTTTATGTTCAGTTTGCTTGCAAAAGCAAGGTTTACCCAGGGAATTTGGGGGGAATAGAGAGAGAGAGAGAACACTTTGGAAACTACTCTGTCAGACAAGAATGCAAAAGATTTATCCCACCTCAGACTATGTGGGACAAGAATAAAAGTAAAACAGAGAACTGTAAAACCTTCTGCTTTCTATATTCTATTTGATCACAGCATTATAAAACATCATTATTAATTTAGGCACCCAAAACCACAAACCAGATCACTAAGAGGAACCTGTACTTAGCAAGCTGCCACTGCACCCTAAACCCAGTTAAACAGATCATTACTCACAGAATGAGCAGGCATAGGGCACACCATCACCCTGTTAGCAGAGAGAAGGAAGTTCCTCAGGAGTAGAGCTAGAGAGAGACTGAGTCTGACCTTCTGCCTCAACTTCCTTAACCCTTCTTCACTCATTGTTTTTTGTTCTGTTTAAGCTGTGGTGATATTCTGGCTGGTTATTTTCTGGATACTTCCAGAGGTTCAAAGCGGGAATTGCTATAAGCAAAGATGTATCTTCTTTCCCCATCCCTTTAAAAACCAAACAAGAACATTCTCCTGATACATCTTGGCAAGCAGGACATTTGGCAGGAGAAGTAACCAAACTCTTTACAGAAAGGGAGAATTTTGGTGGATTGTATTGTTTCAAAACTCCTGGAGACCATGTGGGGCAGTTCCTGGGAGGCATAATTGAAT